GACCTTATTGAGTCCAGTCAATGGCTTTCTTTCATCTAGGTGACTGTCCTGGAAGCTTCGGGACGTGTAGGAGGCAGAATCGAGACCCACAGAGTTCCTGGAGCTCAGTGGTACATAGAGCTGGGTGCCATGAGGATCCCTGCGAACCACAGGTATGATTCCTGGAGTAGAGGCAGATGAGAAAGGCCAAGAGGTGATCTCCAAGAATGCCAATGGCAAGAGGCCCATCAGTGCCTGGTATCTTTTCCTGGAGACTAAGAAGTTGGACCCTGTCCTAATTTTGCAACTCCAAGTTTACCCAGAACCCATTCCCAGCTTCAATGTCTTAATCCACATAAAGAATAGAACTAAACCTTCCCTGAGTGCTGAAGGATCATTCAAAAGGGTCCATGCCTTGGAAAGCCAAGCACAGCCGATACTGGATTATGAGCATGGTTCTGGGAGACCATGGTATCTCATGGGAGCTCCTGGATGGAGCAGGTCATCCTGGAAGGGGCGATTGGAACATTCAGCCTTGAGAACTTATCAGTGGCATCCTCCGGGGAAAAAGAACCCAGTGCACACTCCCTGTGTAAACTTCATAGGATTTCCAGGGGTTGCAGTGGCCACATCTGAAGGTCTGAAGTCTACAGACCTCAAAGTGAGAGCAAGCTTGGCTAGCACAGCAACCCAGGCTGTGGTCATGTGACCACAAGAATGAGGGCCCTGGCTGGCTCAGCCAGCCCCCTCCCAGCCCCATGGAGTTAGCCTGGCAGAGTGACAGGGGACCCAGAATCCCTTCCATGAAAGGAGGACAGGAGTAGCCCCAGAGAACCCAGGGGAGGCAGAAATCAGGGGCTGGGAGCAGGGAGGGGTTGGTAGCTTCCATGTCCACTCCTGAATAATCTGCAATTCACATTTTAGACTCTCCAGGGAGTTTGTCAGCAAGTTTGGTTTGACCCTCAAGGAGTTCTGCCCCTGTAACAATCAGACCTGGGTACTGATGAACAGAGTACGTGAGCGTGCAGGGGCTGTGCAAAATGATCCTGGCCTTCTAGGCTACCAGGTGCGGGAAGATGAGGTGGGGAAGACTGCGGAGCAGCTCTTTGATGAATCACTGAGGAAGGTAAGCCCACATGGGATGCACACAGGCACTTTCTTCAGAGCCACTTGGCTCAAAATCCTCTGGGTTTTCTCTGATCCCCTAAGTGGAGGGGAAGTCCTCCCTGAGACTCCAAGCTGATGTCTGGCCTTCATCTCTCACCTGAGCCATATGCACAACAGCCACTGTGCATTGTGAGACCTTAAATATCTCCACAAATGCCGACTTGAGCAAATGTAGTCGCTGGTGAAAGCATCGTGGTGGCACAGGCCTGAGGCGCTGAGCTTGAAAACACAACATGTAATCCAGGGCAAGAGACTTGTCCCTTCTCCAGCTTCTGTGATCCTCACTCCCAGGTTACTTGTGAAGAAAAAGTGAGAAGACCTGTGTAATGTGATAAGAACAGTGTCAGTGCTCAAATGACAATTATTATCATGATAGCTGTGCGGTCCTAAGTGAGAATGATGATGGCCCTGCCTGGAATGCTTGCCCACCTGTCTGCAGACATGTCCTCAGTGTGGACCATGCCTCTCTCTTCTCGGACCCATTGCTCAGGGTGACCTCAGGGGGCAGCTGGGCTCTGTGGGACAGGCAGCCCTCAGGGGAGGCTCTGCCAAGTGTCCTCTCCTTTCAGGAGTGGTGTGCTGACACAGGCCCCCATAAACATGTCCAGCTTTCAGACTCTCATCCAGCCTTGCTCACAGCTCAGAGGGGCCAGGCCTTCTGCCACCACACCGCCCCTAGTGGCCTGCAGAAAAATGTCCTCTTACCCAGAATGAGGAGGAAGACCTCCACTCCCCATAACTCCAAGGCCAATAGTGGATCTGGAGCTCTTACCTTCACACGTCAGTTGTGTGTCCAACCACACAGGTGAAAGTCCACCATCAGCACACTTCTGTGTGTGAGAGTCCTGGAATCCAGGATTCCCACAATGTGTGCCTCAGGCAAACACCCATGTGGAAGCGTGGATCCTGGGAGCTGGGCGGGGCAGGGTTGAGGCTCCCTGGGGCTGATGGTCCTCACTTCCTCCTTCTCCCCTGCGCAGGTTGTAGAAGAACTGAAAACCAGTAGCTGCAGCCGGGTGCTAGAGAAGTACGACTCCTTCTCCACCAAGGTTGGTCCTGAGACTCCTGTCCACCAATGATCACAGCGCCCCACAGTCCACCAGCGGGGCTGCCTCCCAGTACCACACTGTTCTGTTCTTGTCTTCACCTTTATAAAATCTGTCTGCCCTTCTAGAAGGCAAGCTCCACTAGGAAAGGGAAGGGGGAGAGAGGCAGAGAGAGGGCATAGGGAGAAAGGGAGGGAAACGAGTAAAGACCACCATGACAAGGTGATCAAAGGGAATTTACTCTGAGCTTGCTGTAGGAAAGGAGTTCACCACAGTCACTTGCCCTGTGGCAGAGTGCCACCTGCCATTCTACCCTGTCCTTGCCACTAGGGGGTGGAGAGGAAGGGCTCCCCTGTTATCCCCTGCACCTCCTGACCCTTGTGTCTTCTCTCCCTGCGCACTGTCACAGGAGTATCTGATCAAGGTGGGGAACCTGAGCCGCGGGGCCGTGCAGATGATCGGCGACTTGCTCAACGCAGACTCTGGCTACTACGAGGCCTTCACAGAAACCCTGCGTGGCATCATCTCCTTCTTCCAGGAGCCTCGGTGCGAAATGGGGGTGGGGAGAGTGGGTTGGGGGTTCACCAGCTCCTTGAGGAAGACAATGGTAAAAGGGAGCACTGGGTGGGCCATGTTGAAAAAAAATCCCCCAAGAAATGGGAGGAAGAGAGGAAGAGGCAGGAGTTCCCAACCTCAGGGTGACCCAGAATGACTGGGGAGGGGGCTACTTGATAGATGAAGCACAGAAGGCTGGCAGCGCCCTTCAGAGTTAGTGACCCGGCCTGGGACCTTAGCTGGGGGCCTCTAAGGGGCTCCCAGCAATGCCCCTGCTGCCTGACTTGCACTCCCACTGTGAGATCCTCTGGCTAACAACTATCAAGAGTCCTTAAACTGATGTTGGAGGCGTGGCTCAACCAGCCAACGAGAACAGCGTCAGGTACTGAGTTCAATTCCCAGTCTTTCAACATAACAGCAGAGTCCTTACAACTGCAGTGGGTCTGTGGCCTCCAGTCTGTGCCAGGGGACACTGGCTAGTTTTATTTTAATTTTCCATTTATTTATTTCGTGTCCACACCATGCTTGAACTTCAGGCCTGTGTTCCTTAGCTTTTTCACTCAAGGCTACTGCTCTGCTACTTGAGCCACAGCTCCATGTCAGATTTTTGGCAGTTCATTGGCATGAAATGTCTCATGGACTTTCCTGCCTGGACTTGGCTTTAAACTGTGCTCCTACATCTCAGCCTCCTGAGTAGCTAGGGTTACAGACATCACCAACTAATGCCTGTTTACCGGCTATTCTTTAGCATAGGAAGATGTATTAGAGATGCAAAACCCAGACTCTGGGCACCCAGGTGATCTGTAGCTACAAAGAGTAAATGTACTGAGTCTCATCATCGAATTCAGCAAACAGAAAATAGACACTAACAAGGGGACAGCTCAGCCTGTGAATCCTGGTAGATTTATCTGTTCAGACACCCAGTCCTCTTCTTTGCCCAATTTGCATTCTGCCACATCTCATCCTTTTTATTCAGGGTAAGTTCATTTAAATTCAAGCCTACCAGTGTCATGTGGGAGAGTGGAAGGTGAAGAAGTGTAGAGGCAGAGCAAGTGAAGGATCTCAGTGGGGTTTAGGCTGCATTCTTTGGGGGTTACTCTGTGCTGGGCATCTTCTGAAGGTATGATTGAAATGGCTGAATGTGTCCATAAGGATCCTGCATGTTTGTCCACCTCAAACCCAGTACTTTAAACCAGGGGGACCCCTGAGGGGGAAGGAGGAAAATCACTGAGAGTCAGGGTGCTGTATCAGCAGAGAAGATGCCTTTTTCTGATTGGTCCATCCACAGCAGCACCTTTTCTCTAGTTCTCTGGAATGAACAGACACTGCCAACTGTTGATCTCCCTCACACCTGACCAGAACATGTTGCTTAGAAGAGTCAGCCTCTTGGCCCAATCCAAGCACCCCATCCCCTGCCTGCCTGTCCATCAACCTGCCTCCCTTTCCCTCCTTGGTCTGTTTGCTCTCAGGTTTGATGAAATCATCGGGGGCTTTGACCAGCTACCCCAGGCCCTGCATCAGTCCCTAGTGCCCGGGACGGTGCGGCTTCACTCACCGGCAGAGACAGTGGAGATGTCGGGAGACTACATCTATGTCACCTACAGGACACCAGACCCTCTGTGGCCCAGGGCACATCTGACTGCGGATTATCTGGTTGTGGCCACCACAGCCAAGGCTGCCCGGCTCCTCCAGTTCCGGCCCCCCCTGTCCCTCAGCAAGGAGGATGCGCTGCGCTCTGTCCACTACAACAGCGCCACCAAAGTGGTCCTGGCCTGCACACAGCGCTTCTGGGAGAGGGACGGCATCTTCAGTGGCAAGTCCAGCACCGACCGGCCTTCCCGTTTCACCTACTACCCCGGCCAGATCTTTCCCAATGACACAGGGGTCATCCTAGCCTCCTACACCCTCGACGACGACTCCCTGTTCTTCGCAGCCATGGACCATAGCCGGGTGGTAGATGTGGTCTTTGATGACCTGGCTGCCATCCATGACTGCCCCAGAGAGGAGCTCCGGGCCCTGTGTCCCTACTCCATGGTGAAGCACTGGAGCCAGGACCCCTACGCCATGGGGGGCTTTGCCTTCTTCACCCCCTACCAATATGTGGACTACGCCCAGGAGCTGAGCCGTCCTGAAGGACGGGTCTACTTTGCTGGTGAGCACACAGCCCTGCCCCACGGCTGGATTGACACCGCCATCAAATCAGGGCTCAAGGCAGCAAAGAGCATCCAAGAGGCCGTGGACTTGGCTTCCACACAAGACTGTGGGGACCGGAAAGAGGCCTACCCTAAATCCGAGCTGTAGCCAGCCTATGGCAGCCAGGGATGGGGATGCTTTTAATCACCCCCATCCTCTAAGGAAAATTCCAGCTCATAATCTCATTCACCTTCAGCTTGGTCCAAAAATGTCAGACAAGCTGGTGAGTTTACAGCCCAAAATGGAATCCCTCAAATATCTGATGTATTCTTGAGAGAAACAATAAAGCATTTGTTGAATGTATGACTATCGCCTGATGTTCCATCTATGTTCTAGGCATCATTCAAATGAATTTAGGGTTGAGGACTGAGGGCTACAGAAATGTTTTTTTTTTTTCCCTATCTCCTCTCCTCATCTGCCATGATTTTTTTGTTATTCTTTTCTTTTTTTTGGGGGGGGGGGTCCGGTTGTGGGGCCTGAACTCTGGGCCTGGGCACTGTCCCTCAGCACTTCAGCTCAAGGTTGGCACTCTACCACTTGAGCCACAGCGCCACTTCTGGCTTTTTTGTCTTTTTGCTTATGTGGTGCTGAGGAATTGAACCCCGGGCCTCAGGCATGCAAGGCAAGCACTCTACCACTGAGCCACCTTCCCAGCCCTCTTTTCTTTTTCTTTTTTTTTTTTTTGCTGGTCATGGGGCCTGAATTCTGGGAGCTGTCCCTCAGCTCTTCAGCTCAAGGCAAGAGCTCTACCACTGAGCTACCTTCCCAGCCCCTTTTTTTGTTATTCTTAAGCAGCTGTAAAAGAGGATTTTATTGCATGGGGCAGGTTCTGAGCACAGTGCAATCTTGATCAATGCCACATCTTCCATCATTTTTCCTGCTCCTCCCCTCCCAGCCCTACCCCTCAGTTACATAGTTCAGTTTTTACAGAATGCACATTGAATATAACGGCTGCATTTGCTCCCCCTCCCTCCCTCCATTCCTGCATTCCCTCTATACCATCCCCCCAAATCAAGTTTCCACTTCCTGATACTCATTTTGTTAAACAGTACATTAGTGTTCAGGGAAGTTACACCCATGGACTCCCCACCCCCCAGAAGTATACCATTCTCCAGTCAGGCCCTTTGTGTCTAAATGTATAGAGCGTTGTATAAGTTCTATTTAGTTGTATTTTAGATCTAGCTTCCACATATGAGGGAAAACAAGTGACATTTGTCTCTCTGAGCCTGGCTTACTTCATTTAACATGATTCACTCTTAGTCTATCCATTTCTCCACAAATGACATAATATTATTCTTTCTACTGGATGAGAAAAATTCCATTCTAAAAAAGTACCACATTTCTTGATCCACTAATCTACGGTAGGTCATTTGGACTATTTCCATAACTTGGCTATTGTGAATAGTGCAGCAATGAACAGGATGTACAAGTGTCTTGACCCTATCCTGGCTTGTGATGATCTGGGTAGATGCTCAAAAGTGGTTTGGTTGCATAAAAGGATGATCTGTGTTTCGTTTTTTGAGGAACCTCCAAACCACCTTCTAAAGTAGTTACACAAGTTTACATGGTAACCACCTGTGCAATAGGGGTCCTTTTCCCCAGCAGCCCTGTCAACATTTCTTGTTGTTCAGTTTGTTGTTGTTTATTGTGAAAATAACATACAGAGGGGTTATAATTACCTGGGCAAAGTAATGAGTACATTTCTTATCAAGCATTTTTGCCTCCTCCTTTGTTTTCCCTTCCCCTCTCCCCCCCCTAAGCCACCATTCCCCTTCCACAACCCCTCGCTACCCCCACCCCATTCCCCCCTGGCCAAAGGTGTAAAGTTCATTTTTCAACATATGTTAGCCAATCTTACTGGGGTGAGGTGGAATCTCAGAGTTGTTTTGATCTGCATTACCTTTATGGCCAGGGACATTGCGCATTTTCTCAAGTGTTTATTGATCATACTTCCTTCTCCTGAGAAATCCCAGTTTAGCTGCTTTACCCATTTGTTAATTGGTTTATTTATTTGAGAGACAAGTTCTTGAGCTTCTTGCACATTCTGGATATTAGGCCCCTGTTAGATGTGTAGCTGTTGGCTGTCTTTTTAGCTTAGTAACTATGTCCATTGCTGTGCAGAAACTGTTTAGTTCGATGCAATCCATTGTTGAATCACTTCCTGAGCCCTGCAACTCTACTCAGAAAGGTTCTGCCTATACCAGTAAGTTCTGTTGCTTCTCCTCCCCCTTCTTGAAATCATTTCAAGGTTTCAGACCTGACATCGAGGTCTTGGATCCATTTTTTGTTGAGCCACGACTGAATCTTAAGAGAAGTTGAGAAGGGCACACCATGTTACCAGCAATTGGGGTGTTTATTCCATGTCATTGCAGCAATCCCCAATGGACATATTCCAAGTTTATTCTATATTACAGATGAGGAAAACTGCCTAAGAGAGTGATGGGCTTTCCTGAGCTCAAAAATACAAATCCAAAGTGGCTCAAACTTCAACATAACCCCAAATATAATTCCAAATACTCTTGCTTCTTCTAGGATCAGCTCTTCTGTCTCTTTCTGTTTTGTGTGTTCTTAGAAAAAATTAATCATTCACTTTGGAGAAAATAAAGTATTTGAATAACATACGAATATATTCTGCCTTTCATACTATACATCCTATCCCCCATAAATCTTTCTTGGTGGACTTGAGAAGCTTAGAGTTAGACAGATCATAGGATGACTGACACAAAGATGGATAAGCTCTGCACAAGCCCAGCCTTTGGCCATGACCTAGCCTGAATTTGGGCCCTAATTTTTATCTTGTGGAGTTATGAGTTAATCACCGGTAAAAAGAGGCCAGGGGACTATGATGTGTGAGGACAGTTCAACACCAAGGACAAAGTCATCAGAACCAGCTGAGATAGCCCAGTTCTCCTTAGAGCCCAAGACTGAGTTGGGACAACATGCTACCCAGCATTGTCCCTTTAGCTGACTTTTGGATTTTGTCCCAAAAGCAATCTAACACATGAGCCCTGGAAGTTTCCTAGATGTTGGCATAAAGCACAACACTGATGGATCAGAACCCAGGGCTCAAGCAGAAGCATGAATATTCTGTGCCCTCCAGGAGGAAACACCTAGAGATGGTGGGAGGGGTTGGAGGAGAAGCTGAGTAAGGGGGGCCAGAGGGGCTGGAGAAAAAGGATTTGAGTGAGTGGAGGAGAGGAGGAGTTGGAGAGAGAAAGAGAAGGAGTTGGCCAGACAGGAGTGGGAGAGAGAAAAGGAGAGAAAGGAGTTGGAGAGAAAGGAGGAAAGAGGGGAAGAGTTGGAGAAAAAGCATTTGAGAGAAAGGAGGAGAGAAAGGAGGAGCTGCAAAGAGAAGAGGAGAGACAGGAGGGACTGGAGAGAAAGGAGAGAGGAGGAAGAGTTGGGAGAATGGAAAGAGAGAAGAGGAGGAGTTGGAGAGAGAGGCAGGTGGATTGGGGAGGGAGGGAGCATGGGAGCCACTTTCTGTGCTGCACTTGCAGTGGAGAGCTGGAGTCCTCAGCCTGAGAGGAAGAGGTGGTCCCATGTGGCTGGACCCCACCGGTTAAGCTGGACCGCATGGCTGCTGACGGTGTCCCCTTGACTCTATTTGACACCAAAGCCATTCCAAAGAGAGGGAGCCAGCATACCACTTGGTATGAATTTCTGACTCCTCTGTGCCCTAGAGAGCAGAAGTGGAGGAGAGATCAAGGAGGAACCAAAAGCCAAAGGCTGGTGAAGGTCCCATGGGGCCCTCCTCCATCCCTGGGCTCTGCCTTCACCCCAAAGGAAACTAGTAGGGTAAACTATCCCAGTTCAGCACACTCACCAGGACGGGCAACCCTAGGACAACATCTCCACACGACAGCTGCCCGAGAACAGATGGCCCAGATGCTCCAGGACAGGCCTCCCAGCATGGACCTCAAAGATAGATGTGTCCCCAGAGAGGCCCCAGGAGAAGCCCTCCCAAAGGGACTCCCAGTCAACTCACATTGGTCTTTCAGGGGCCGACCTTGACCAATCTCCCAACCAGAGCAACTGAAGGACCCCACCAACCACAGCTCTGAGTAGGGTGGAAGCCGGCACCACTGG